ATTAGCAGGGAGGTATTTCCCGCAAAATATTTGCTGATGGCACAGAACTATACACGTGTTTCCGCCCTGATCCCTTGGAGTGTGCTACTGCGGTTCAGGCTGTCGAGGACTGCTGTCTTGCTGTAAAAGTTTGGATGTCATCAAACAGACTAAAATTAAATGATGATAAGACTGAGGCAATTATTTGCGGTTCAGACGCCAATCTTCGGATTGTTACCATGGCATCAAAAAACGTTGGTGAATCGGAGATCCTTTTGTCCTCGACTGTCAGAGACCTTGGCATTTATATTGGCAGTAAACTTAGTATGATTCCCGATATCAGCTCTGTGGTCAAGGCATACTTCTGTCATCTGTGTGCCCTTGTGTCAGCTGCGTCCTCAACTCAATAGGGGAACAGCCAATGCTGTAGAAGTAACTCTAATCCAGTCAAGATTAGACTACTGTGATAGTTGTTAGTGGGGTTTACCTCAGAACCAAACTCAGAGACTTCAAAAGATACAAAATACTGCAGCACGCATTGTATCGCGGATGAAATAATCTGACCACATCACCCCAGTTCTACGAGATCTCCATTGGGTTCCTATGGGTGAGCGCATTAACTACAAAATTATGTCCCTGACGTACAGCTGCATAGATTGCTCAGCACTGGAGTATCTCAAGGAACTAATTAATAAACATGTATCCTTGAAGAGCACGTGGTCTTCAACACAGTACTTACTGAATATTCCTAGAGTGGATGAACACAGAAAAAAGTCTTACGGAGTGCGCTCTTTTGAAACGAAAGCGCCAAAATTATGGAACAGTTTGCTTAAATATTTGAGGGGAATTGTAAATGATAAAAAATCATTTAAGAAACAATTTAAAAATTTTGCTAAAGAAGATTTCGAAGAACCAGAGGGCAGTGAGCATGCTAAAGTGGCATGGATACCAAATCAATCAACAAATCAATCAAAGGTGTGAAGCCTTCTCGAGGTTCAAGTCCTTGAATTTGTATGGTGTATTTAATACAATCAATCCTTTGTTGTCATATAAACTTCTTAATTTTAATTAAATAAGAATGTATCTATATGTTCTAATTAGAGACTGACCTAATTTCGGCTTCGGTTTCGGCGCCGAAAGTGGCCATTTTATCACTTTCGGCCAAGTTTCGGTTTCGACCGAAACTGAAAGTTAAGTTTAGGCTTAAATTTGGTTTCGGCCGAAAGAGAAAAATGAACTTTCGGTTTCTTTCGGTTTCGGCCGAAATTTACTTTGAATTTCGGCAATCAGGTCGAAAGTAACTGAAGTTTTTGGTCATCTAATACTCAGCTAAAACAATATTTAACAACAAACCAATCGAAATTTAAAAACAAATAAAGCGATCTTTGAGAAACAAACTAAACTATATTTAACAACAAACTAAGCGATCTTTACACAAAACTAAACGATCTTAAAGAACAAACTAAGCGGTTTTTAAGAACGCACTAAATGATCTTTAAGAACAAAACAAATGATCTTTAATAGTAAACTAAATGATTTATAACAATAAACTAAGTGATCTTTAACAAAAACTAAATGTTCTTTAGGAACAAATTAAAAGATCTTTAAGAACAAACTAATCGATCTTAGGGAACAAAATAATTAGCTATAAGAAAAAACTAAGCGATCTGATCTTTATGAAAAAACTAAGCGATCTTCAACAACAAAATAAGCTATCTTTAAGAGCAAACTAAACGATTTTTACTAACAAACTAAAAAATCTATTTAAAAAATCTAAATGATCATTTTGAACAAACTGAATGACTTTTTAGAACAACTAAGCGATTTTTAAGAACAAAATCAAAGATCTTTAAGAACAAACTAAGCGATTTTAATAAACAAACTAAACGATCATTTAATAACACAAATTTAGCGATCTTTAAGAAAAAACTTAGCCCTCTTTTTTGAACAAATTAAATGATCTTTAATAACAAACTAAAAGATCTTTAAACAAAACCTAAGCAATATTTAAGAACAAACTAAGCGATCTTAAAAAACAATATAAACGATTTTAACTACACACTAGGCGATCTTTACAAACTAACCTATCTTTAAGAACAAATAAAGCGATCTTAAAAAACAAAATAAACGATTTTTGAATACAAACTTAGCGATCTTTACAAACTAACTGATTTATAAGAACAAATTAAGCGATCATTAACAAAAAACTCAACGATCTTTAAGAACAAACTAAGCCATCTTTAAGAACAAACTAAACGATATTTAACAACAACATGTTACATTAGATGTTTAGTTATTAATATTCACGATTATCTCATTTTTTATAAAAAGAATGTAAATATTTATATTTTGCCCCATCATTTTCGATATATGCAGAATGTATGTGGGAACGAATTTCAAAATATCTAAAAATTTCATTTTCGCTTTCGGCTTTGGTTTCGGCCGAAAGTCATTTTTAACTTTCAGCCTTTTTTCGGTTTCGGCCGAAAGTCATTTTTAAACTTTCTGCGTATTTTCGATTTCGGCCGAAAGTCATTTTAAACTTTCGGCCTATATTCGGCCTCGGCCGAAATCAGAAAATCACTTTTGGTCGGTCTCTAGTTCTAATTATATTATATTTTCTCAGTTATGTATACTTACATGTTTTAGGAAAGATTCAGTCATTGTTAAGTCCGCTGCTTCTTCAGTCTTCTGATATTATTTTTAAAATAATTATAAAAATATTTTTTAAAAGTTACATAATGAAAGTGTTAAAAAGATATATTTCATGCTAAATATCGTACTTATTTTTAAATTATTTATAGTATTATTTAAAATTACATTGTCATAAAGATGTATAACGGAAAGACAACTCTCTTAAAAATGCACACACACATTAAACATAAACCGTATATTGTGTTGCAAAGACAATGGAAGAAATGCGGCATGAAAATTGACAATGTGAGATTACCATTGATAACAATTCCTACAATACCTGTTGACAAACAGCAGTGAATATTACAAACCAAGCAGAACCTTAACAAAGGGAAGCCATTTTGGGAAAATAAATAAATAAGGAAAGTAAAAGGAAGACGGTCGCGAAGTTTCCTTGTGTTAAGTGCAGCCAAGACGACCCCATGATATTGGCCCGTAAGCCAGTCGATAAAGTACCAATGATACAGAAAACTCATTACATCTGCGTACACAGGATTATATATGGTTCTTAGAGTAGATTTACATACTAAAGCAAACACATAAGATATTATCATGTTGTGCTACTTATTTTATAATTTACTTAATAACTAAATTAAGATGATGCGAGGGGGAAAAACTGAAAATTAAAATAATTTTATAGCTAAAAATCATCGTTTTAGAGGTAAATTATTTTGCATGTAGGTTTCTGTTTCCTTGTTCTTATTAAAATCCAACAAAAACATTAGGAACCAAATATTGAGAATATTATTTAGTTAACTAAATGATGAAAAGACATATACGTAAGATATTAGCATCAAATTTGATTGGTTAATTATCAACAATTATTTCTTATTACTTTGCATGTGTTTAAATGTATTTTATTAAAAATTGATATTTATCAAAATGACTAGAGCCAAGACAATACAGTTAAAAATTAAAGTTAAACAATACAGCAACTGCAGATAACACTAACAACAAATGTGTTTGTTGTATAAAAAATTCTTAACTTGGATATGTAAAACATGACACTACTGTTATTACCCTCTGGTGCCTATGTCGCCACAATTTTAAAACTATAAAGAAGGAACGCTTCATGTTTGTGCATATTGAAGACCTTACTTTCAAATATATGGATTGAGGATTATCTGCCATCATCTTTTCTAAGAGTGCTTTTCGTTTAAGGCCATCATTCATTTTTGTGTTTGTTTGATCTTAAAAGTACATGTTCTTTTCTTACATATGTATGCTCTTCTCTTTTTGAAATCTAGAAAACTATCTGCTGATTATTGTCTATAGAGATAGGGGCGCCTTAAAGAGTTGTGAAAACAAAAGATGTACTAAAATAGTTTCGAAGGTGACTTAAAATAAATAATGTTTTTGCTTCTATTTAACTGCTATCCTATTCATTATCTATTGTTTGGTGACGTTGTGGCGTATTTTATTTAGAGGTTCTTGTGCGCTACTCTGTTCAAAGTTGGAATTCACATAATATTTTTTTAAACGTAGCTAAAAACCTTTATATTCATCTTTCTTCGTCTTTTTTCCAAATGTGTAAAGACCTTGACTTGCGTTATAAAACGTTCAGTTGAGCTAAAAACCAAGACTGAAGCTTTTTTTCTATGCCTGTTTGTGTTGGTAGCAAAGGCATATCTATTTTCTGTCTGTAAAGTGAGTGTCTTCTTAATTAACAATGTCAGCGATAATAAAGAAGAAATCTTGATGTATAGTTATTATGGAAAAAAAGGCATTTTAAGAAAGTAATTTTTTAAAAAATGTCAACTTACTTTTCGTTTTGTCACAAATCTGAAACAATCAAAATTTAGTTGAAATTACTTTTTGGCACTTTTGAAAGTTTGCTTTGAAATCCATTAGATGTCTAAACATTGTATTTTGGGAAAATTTGACTGAAGAAAATAGTGTTTAAAATGTTACTTTTCTTTTTCTTTTGACTTAAACAATGAATAAGTTTCGGCTTTTAAAACGACTAAAATATCATACTCTTTAAGAGCCTCATCACATGAACTAATTTCAACTTCATCTAATTATGCAAACAAACTAAATTTTGACTGCTGAAAACGTAGTAAGATTTTTTGCGATTTGAATATCAACTTAAAAATAAATAAGTATTGTGTTTAATCAATTTTAAAATACACACAGATGCGATAAATTCGAAATCTATTGTTCGTTTTTAATCAGTAAAAAAAACAACAATATTTTACCCTTGTTAATATCAGAAGTTATACCAGGCCATTTATTGAAATTATTGTTTAGTGTGTTTTAAAGGCACATATATATATAATATATNAAAGTGCGTTTTAATATATATATATATATATATATATATATCATTACCTGTAAATTAAGAATGATATAGTTGCCACCAAAAATATACAAGCGAGAGGTACAGTAACACCTATAGCTATATCATTGTTACTGTTGTCTTTAGGTGTACTTTGAATTAATCCTAAATGAAAAATATGCATAGAAAAAAGTGAATAAAACTACAAATTCATTATTTTTAGTATGATCATGAGACACTAGATACAATATTTATAGTAAGCAAAGATTATAGTTCGATAAATATATACATATATTGAACTTGAAAAAATTAAGTACCCATAAAGATTTAAAATAATCTCATAATGCACTTGGTGTAATTTAGCTTAAAAAATATGACAATTACATTGTAAGAAATATCTGCTCCATAATTGTTTTACTTAGTTTTTGTGAAAGAATGTAACATTTTATAAAAATAAAGTAAAGTGATGGTAAGTATTCATAAAATAAGAATAGGTGTTAACCAAAAAGCAGAACATGTATAAACATTAAAAAAAAAAAATTATCTGGATAACATGATGTATATTTATCGAATGTTCGCTTTAGCATTATTCTTTTAATTTATCTGATTTTTATTCATTTTCCAAACATGCTGCCCTAATAGCTTATCTTATGAAGCAACAAATCTCAAATCCCTCAATCGTTTTGAAATAGCCTATTTAGATTGTTGCAAAATACTGGATCGAAAATTTCACTTCGAAGAATCAAATTAGAAAGTTTGGGCATAAGAAAAAATGTCGGCTATAAATCATGGGCTTAAAATAGTTATTTCTTATAATATATGCTTAACATACATTTTAATCCAAAACACAATAACACATTATTGTGCATTTTAAAAATATAAATACAGCTTTAAGAAAGTGAATAAAACATGTTTTAATTAAATTAAGTAGGGACATTTTTTAGGGTATAAAAACTGATTTTAAATTAACAGTTCTTGATTTTATTGTTTGTTCCCATATGTGTGTATTGTGTACCGGCTAAAATATGGTGAGCTTGAACAAGAAAAGCGGTCTGCTGGTGGGCAGAAAACAGCTTTAAAGACAACCTAAAGCCTCACTGAAAGCATTCAACGTAAACCAAGACACGTGTGAGGAAAAAGCAAAGGATCAAACTTCACGGCGTTCCACTTTACACATGAGATCCATGCAACATATAGTTGGCAAAACAGTTGCTGAAGAGCGCAAGAGACATGCAAGGAAGGCCCGGTCTGACTCTGCCCCCGAGATGCGCCATCATTCCCCTGCACCTACTGCACAAGAGAATTTCGTACCAGAATCGGCCTCATTAGCCATCTGCGCACTCACAAACAAAACTAGCAGAACCTCTGATGCTTAGAGGGGTCGTAAGAAAACCAGCTCAAAGTCACAATTAATTTGCAATTAGTGTTGTTTTGCAAGACAAAAATTGCTGTTGGTAAATATTATTTAATGCTAGATCGTAAATGATTTCTTTACTTGTATGTGTAACAAAAAAGGGTGTACAATGCCAAAAGTAGTATAATTAATGCTAAAAATAAAAAAAATGATTTATCTAGTTTAATTTTTTTTTTTTTTCAATCTAAGTAAAAAAAATATAACAAAGACGAATTTCATTCAGATTTCGTTTGCAACAAACCGTCATATACAATGTTTTTTGTATAAAGACTCATTAGTCTACTGCTTTCCAACCTGTATAACCTTAAGCTCCTGTAAACTTTGAAAACAACTTTACTATTTTTCTTTAATAAATCAACTACCATGCGTCTGAAATTATTAAATGAAATATGAGTCGCTTATGTCAACCTTAGCTGACCAAACATAAATTTTCAAACTGAATATTTAATCATTACCAACTTACCAGTAAAAACAGAGCAGCTGATAGTAATGAATTTACCATCTAATCTGCAGGCGGAATATTTGATCGTTACTAATACATCTTTGCCATTTTCATATTTTCCTTGGAAGAAAGCGTGGTTTTCACTTTGTTTAACTACGGTGTCACCATTAACCTGCATCTCTATGACACACGGCTTGGCAGCACTGACGCAGTCAAATTCTAATGTTAAATCCCTTACATCAATGGTTGTATTACAGAAATCTGTTGACATGTTCTTTCCATTTATTTTTAGGTGCCCATTGAAGTTTAATGGATCTATATAGAAAAAGATCATTCTTTATCATAGGCGTGATACAGGTAACAGTGACATTCAAAGAATAGAGGATATGATCTTTAAAAAAAAGAGCGTGAATTATATCTAAGGTTTCCTTATTTTATTTATAATTCATTCATTGCATAAGTTTAAAATGTTAAGAGTCCATAACAAATTATAACATTCTCAAACTACATAAGGTAGGCTTTTACAAACAAATTGTGCAAAATAATTAAATACTTTCTTAAACTAATTTCTTGGCATAAAATGTTAGCTCTTAATCCTGATTTTGTATAATACAAGAATAAATGACCCGATGTTATCGGGATAATAATGGTTGTTCCTTTGCGATAATTTCTAACTGCTATTGCAAAAACTCATCCCAATTCATAACTTTTGAAATGTAAAGGACCTACCATTAGTATCCCAATAATATTTAGCTTATTCATTCTAGTATTTACTGATTACGATTTAATTACGTTATACATTTAATAAAAGTATATGTTTCCAATTAAAAAAAGTAAAAACGTATTTAATGTTTAAAAAACAAGGCTAAAATGTGTGTGTGTGTTGTATTAATAATATAAAAACCAATCAATTATATTAATTAATTTTACTTTTATTAAGGTGATAATACATTATCAGTTTGTAACGCGTGGTTACTAAATCAAAGAAATTTAATAGTTTCTTCTAAATTAGGCTATTCGCGCTATGACATCATTTGCATGTTTATTTAGAACAAATTAATTTTAATTTATTTCGCAATATTAAAAAGGCACTTAAAAATGCACTAAACTGATGTTTAGGGTTTCCAGATATATGTTATATTACGATGTAATTCTTTGATCATAATTGTTTTTTCATTATTTTTAAATTCGGATATAAGTCTTAAATTATTTATTTTACTTTGTTGTTATTTTAAATGTGTTTGTAATGCGTAATTATAATGCTTACAGTTTTACTAAAAGAAAAGCGTATTTATAGGTAGTTTTTTTTTTTTTTTTTTTTTTTTTTTTTTTTTTTATTTTGTTTTTTTTTTTTTTTTTGTTGTTATTTTAAATGTGTTTGTAATGCGTAATTATAATGCTTACAGTTTTACTAAAAGAAAAGCGTATTTATAGGTAGTTTTTTTTTTTTTTTTTTTTTTTTTTTTGGTGCATTTTGTTTTTTTTTTTTTTTTTAAAAAAATATTTTTTTTTTTTTTTTTTTTTTTTTTTTTTTTTTTTTTTTTTTTGGTGCAATTAGATTTATTCGATTTTTGTCAAATAATAGAACATAGCTATGATTATTCTTTTAGAATCTGAACGTACCTTAATCTTTTTGGTTCTTTGGCGCTACAGTCAACTTAGCTCGTTATATATATATACAAGTTTTACTTGACCGATTTAAATTCTCCAAAAACATAAGAAATATTGAACATTTTAAACGAAGTAATATTAGTTCATGTACATTTTACTTTAAATTTTAAATACGTCCAAGAACTTTAAAAACGTATATTACTAATATACATATATATATACATATATATATATATATATATATAATATTATTTTTTTTAAAGATATTGACAATAAAAATTAATTCTCAATAATCACTAATTTACGCAATTTAATTAAAAAGTAATAATTTATTCAACAAAATTTAAATCCAATCTGCAACTGCGATCATCATTATAGAATCGGCTTGCGAAGTCAATTGATAGTCGGTTAATTAATAAGATTTTGTGTATTTGGATTTATGCCTTAAAAAGATTATCTCATGATAACGGCGACCTTAACAAAAAACAAAAGTACCCTTTTATCAAATTAAGTTTTGTTTTTCTTTAATATAAATTAATGTCTATATAATTTAACTATTTTATTTTTTAAACTTTCAATTCAAACTTATTAATCAACATTCTGTTTAAAATGCATAGATTGGGTATAGTTTTTTATTTTTGTGACGAAAAAAAAATTGTTGACTTTTCAACTTACCGAAAATTTGAGGAAATGCAAGGATATCACTGTAGACGTTCTTTTGGTTTACAATTACTGTATATGCCCTAATTTCAGCTTGACTATATCTCGAAAGTTCATTAGCATTGATTGTAATAATATATACATTACTATCTATTTCAGTGCAGTAGAAGTCGGCATCTTTACTGAATCCAGTACAATCGGTCATCACGTTTAGAGTGATTAACTGGAGAAAAAGACGTATATTGATGAATAATGATCACTTTTCGTATTTAAAACAAATAATTTAACTTGATCAACTGCCTACTCAGTGTCTACAATGACGTACTGTTTACGAGACTACAAGACCGGACTATTCTTATGAGGTTCACTTGATATATATAAAACTTCGCCTACACGGTTTTACATTATATTAATACACTTGTTTTATAGCATCTATGTTGATCAAGTTCTTTTGTCATCACATGACGTTGCATTATATACTTTTCCCCCCCCCCCCTCCTTATCTTTTCTTTTGATATTAATGTCATCGATTAAATTGTTTTAAATTTTTTTAATCCACTTGTTTTATAGCATTTTTGTTGATCAATTTCTTTTGTCATCCCATGACGTTGCATTATTTACTTTACCCCCCCCCCCCCTCCTTATCTTTTCTTTTGATATTAATGTCATCGATTAAATGTATAACTGTATAACTGTCCACCTTACCAGACCTCCCTTGCTTCGGAAATGGCTGTTTGCATTCTATTGTTTACTTAAGTATGCTACTGGGTTTTACAAGCTATAGCATATTATTTTTTAAGGGTTTTAACTCCCTCGATGTAATTAAATCGAAAGTGCTTTCCTGCCGGTACAGATTTTAGCTAAATTCCTCGACTAAAAATAAATATTTGTATCTTTCGATAATTAGACGTTTTTACTTACTGTGCAATAATTCGGTCTAGTTGTTTTCTTTAAATTAAGTTTGTATTCTTTAATATAATTTAATATTATAATCAAATTGAAAATTTTTTAAATCACTATTTTTGGTGTAGTTTTTCTTGTAATTTGTGTTCTTTTTTCTGTGCTTGTTAAGTATTATTCAAATAACTAGCAATATCTTAAATCCATGTTTCAATAAAAAACTTGAAATATTCGTCCAATGTATGAAATACTGGTATGTTTAACTATAAGACAGGTTATTATTATTTAATGATGTTTTCATTTATACTTAATAATCTATTGTATATTAAATAAAACGCTCAACTTACAGGGTTAAATACTTCGATATGTGCTTCCCGAATTTCAAGTATGAGAGAAGAAGTCTCTGGTAATGCTTCTTTAAAACTGATCTCGTAATTAAAGACACACGTGTCAGATGTTATCAGGTATCCACTCTTGCATTTTGTTGAACATTGTGTTTGTCCCTTTAGGAATTTTGTTATTTCCTGAGCAGCGAAGAAATCTGTTTAGAAATATAAATATCAAGAAGAATACTGCTTTTAAAATAACAGTTTAAATTACGTCTTTTTTATTAACTATGCTGTTAATTCTTACAAAAGGAGTGTAAAATACTACGAACAATTCTCTAAAAAAATATTATTATTATTATTATTTTTTTAAAGCTCGTGAAATTTAAAGGTGGTTTACTTACCAAGAACTGTTGATAGGAAGAATATGGTTCCAATTCTATGTAAAATTTCCATGATGATAAAATTGAATTCAAAGTGTTATACAACTTGTTTTAATATTTGCTAATTGTATTGTTCTCGTAGTTTAAAAAAAAAAAGTATATTTAAACCTATAGATTAAATAATATGTTTTGTAAATACATACATTATTAAGCGAGCCTACTTTCTTACTATTCAAAGCCAGGTGTGTGACAGTTTTAATATGGAAAAGTAATAAGAATTTTTTTTTACTTGAATATGTGATGTGGCTGTGCTATTAATTTTTTTTTTTTTTAAATTGAATGTCGTGTATTTGTTTTACAGCACCTATTTAAGCATCGGTTTTTTCGAATATTTTTTTCTCTTTTATATGCAACGAGATCTACAAATAGCTAATGCTGCCTTAATATAATAATATTTTTGTTTATATATAGCCTTTAAAAGGTCTGCAGTAATAAGTGAAATGTTAAAAAAATTGTTTTAGGCCCTACTTTCATCTAAGTCTATCTGAATTAAACGTTTTGAAGAAGCAAGCTACTGACAGCTAAGTTTTATTTTAAAGAGGGGCATTTCCAAATAATAAAGGAAACATTAAACTTTTAGAAGAAGTTAAACAACTTAATATCGGGAAAATCCATACTGAAATCTTAAAATCGAGTTTTAATGAAAAAACATGTTTGCTAGCCGCCATGGCCAGGTTGAAGTTACACATAGTGTCCTTGGGCAAGGTGATTGAAAATCGATGTTAAAGGTATACATCTATTCTCCTGAAACTTTATTTTTATATGGAATAGTTTTCCTGAATTTAAAATAATAAGCTCTGTGTACCTGTGCGGTTACAACTTACAGGTGCTAGACCTGATAGGTGGCACATCACATATCCCTCCTCACGACATTAATAACAAGAAATGAAAATTAATTATAATATATTTTTTTTTAAATAATAGGTTTATATAGACCTATAAGAATATGAACTACTTAGAAACGTTCAACAAAATAACCCTACAGAAATAGTAATGCAATTTGAACAAAACAAAGTATGTGAAAGAATAACCAAGGCCATATTACAAATTTCCTCCAGGTGTATTTAAGAGATTGTAAGAGGAAATATATACCTTTCTGCGACAAAATAAGATAGAACAAGACATTATAAACTTAGACCCTGGCAGAAAAATCCTTTAAAAAAATAATTCTAAACAGACAAACGTCAAAACAAAAACAGCTAATAAGAAATATAGATGTGTACAAACAACTGTATAATTAGACATACACTTAGTTCAATTTAAGTAAGCTCTGTGGTGAAAGCAAAAATTGGAATCCAAAATATTGTGATGACGGAAATAAAGCAGCTATCCTTAACAAAATTGTTGCTTCAGGCAACAAAGCACACAGTCAGACAAATAGTAACGTATAACACATAGCTGACCTGAAGTCCAAAGAGAGAGCTATTTAGGTGAGCATTGTTCTTCTGGAAGAGATCTTCATACAAAGTGAGCACAAAGGAGTACTGAATACAATGATATCATGGAAAGAACCAAATCCAGACAACAACCCTAATGTGCCCCATCTGCAGACATCCAAAGGAGGTATGAACACAAAATTTTGTACCTTGCCCTGCACACAGAGGCTTACATCATTTACACCAACATTTTCATTAGTATGTAAATTCTTTACCATGACCGCCGACTAAATGGCAAATGCCTGAAAGACTACTTCATATGAAAGATTATGATGATATGTGTGTGAAATGTTCATGCGAACTCAAAAACATGGTCTATACATTTTTAATTTAAATAAACCTTGAAAAAATATGCAAACAAAATATATTTAGCAATGTATATTGTCTCGCTTTTGAAGGGTTAAAAGTTTCGACTTAAAGATTTCTACAATCCACAAACTTTCTTAGAGCAGCTAGAATTTAAATTAAATTTTTTAGGAAAATAACACTGCAACCCTAACCCGATTTTAACTAATAAATGTGATTTATTCGGATACATCAACAATAAATCCATCAACACACGCTTACAAAAAATTAAAATTAAATTAAAAAAAAAAAACGTTTACAAAATTTAAAATAAAAAAATCCTATAAAGCTTTATACAAGAGTTACAAGTTTTTAATATATATATATAAAATTTAAATTGTGATTACCAATATCATGTAATTTATAATCTTCAATACATTAAATATGATGAAAAAGATCGGTGAAAATATCGTGTGCGATGTTGCGTGTGTTAAGCTACAGTTGATGATGATTATGATTGGTGATTGAATACTTTCAGAGCGCGTGTATCCCAGCTATTTTAACATGCTCACATGCTGATGACGATAAATCTACTTAAAGAAAAATCGTCTTTAAACATTTCTTAAATGACTTTTGATAATTTTGAATTTCCCTCAAAGTTGGGGCAAAATGTTCCATGATTTAGGCGCAATAGCTTCAAAATAGCGCACTGCTAATTATATGTTATTTTGTCCATCCACAAGTGGGAATTTCAGTAAGGATTGTGTTGAAGAACACTGGTTATGTACGGATAAATGTTTAGAAATTAGATTTTGAAAATATGTAGGTGCAAAGCCTTCTATTCAGCCATACTCCTGGTACAGCATTTGTTGTCATGGCACTCACTCACATGAAGCCAATGAAGATCTTTAAGAACTTGGTTGATATTTGTTTATACGCAATACAATGCATGCTAGAGTATTTTTTTAGCTTTTGGAGTCACCGAGTTTTGCAGTAAACAGCACAATTACAACAATTACTGTAATCTAATTGTTGATGGATTAGAATGAATGCTACGGCATTAGCTGTCCTCTTACAAAGTTGAATACGCAACTGACCCAGGGCGCTTAAATCACATAGACAAGCCCTGACAAAAGAACTGATATGAGGAATTATAGAACCGTATTTTCCGGCGTATAAAAGAACTGAAAAACTTGTCAAAAGTCCAAAAACTTCGTATATATATATATATAAATAGATAGATTAGATATATATATATATATATATATATATATAGATAGATAGAAAGACAGACAGACAGACAGACAGACAGACAGACAGACAGACAGACAGACAGACAGACAGACAGACAGACAGATATACATACAGACAGACATACATACAGATAGACAGACAGATAGACAGATAGACAGATAGACAGATAGATAGATAGATAGATAGATAGATAGATAGATAGATAGATAGATAGATAGATAGATAGATAGATAGATAGATAGATAGAAAGATAGATAGATAGATAGATAGATAGATAGATAGATAGATAGATAGATAGATAGATAGATAGATAGATAGATAGATAGATAGATAGTTACATAGATAGATAGATAGATGGACAGACGGACAGACGGACAGACGGACAGACGGATAGACGGATAGACGGATAGATGGATAGATAGATAGATAGATAGATAGATAGATAGATAGATAGATAGATAGATAGATAGATAGATAGACAAATAGATAGATACACAGAGACACAGATACACAGATAGACAGATAGACAGATAGACCGATAGAGCGATAGACCAATAGACAGATAGACCGATAGACCGATAGATAGATAAATAGATAGATAGATAGATAGATAGATAGATAGATAGATAGATAGATAGATAGATAGATAGATAGATAGATAGATAGATAGTTACATAGATAGATAGATAGATGGACAGACGGACAGACGAACAGACGGATAGACGGATAGACGGATAGATGGATAGATGGATAGATAGATAGATAGATAGATAGACAGATAGATAGATACACAGAGACACAGATACACAGATAGACAGATCGACAGATACACCGATAGAGCGATAGACCAATAGACCGATAGACAGATAGATAGATAGATAGATAGATAGATAGATAGATAGATAGATAGATAGATAGATAGATAGATAGATAGATAGATAGATAGATAGATAGATAGATAGGTAGATAGGTAGATAGATAGATAGATAGATAGATAGATAGATAGA